AAAAAATTATAAAAAAAAAAGGACACATCGAGAGGCTGCCTCCCACACAACCCAACTAGGGCCGGGGACAAACTGCAACCGAGGTACATGCCCTTAGCGGGGACTGAACCTGGGTCTCTCTGGACTGCAGGCCAATGCTCAAACCGCTGAGCCAAACCGGCCAGGGTGTGCCCAAGACTTTTTATACACATTTCTGAGTTCCTTAATTAGACTCTAAGTTCTTTTAGAGGAAGGATAGCATCTATGATATTCATCTCTTTATTCCAAGCACATGACACATAACAGATTCCATTATTATTTGTGGAATAAATGAGTGATGTTGATATCTTCTTTGGTCCAACTCTCTGAATTTCCTGATCCTTGACCACTCTGAAAAGGCCCCTCCTATGTGTTCCCATGACAACCCATACTTCGCCTAGTATAGTACTTATTACTTTACTGTTTGCTCCCCTTACCAACTTCCCACCTGTTATGGGGCCTTTGAAACCTTATTAACCTATGTAATCCCGGATCCCAGCACAGAGCCTAGAATTCATTAAAAAGGTTTTGGGAAGATAATGGCTATATGAATAGATGGTGAAAGATCAACAGTCATTCAGTCAATCTGTCTTTTAGGAAAACTCTCTTGTGACCAACCATACCTATCTGCCAGATAGGTAAGTGAATGAATGAATGAATAAATGAGCAAACAGCTGGCTGAAAAATGTTAGAGATGATTGTTGGGGAAGGCTCAAGGAACTTATAGACTAGAGGAACCTTGCTTCTGGTCTGCATAGTACTTACTTGACATTTGATCTTGGGAAAAGTCCCTTGACTTCTGTTTTTTTTTGTTTCTTCACCTGTAAAACAGATATTACACTCCTTTTTAGCCTGCCATTCAGAGCTCTTGACCTTTCTCATTAATTATATTCTATTATTACTCTTCTGCTCCAAAATGTGTCTCACCAAGGGCCTAGAAAAATATCACAGGACTAAAAAGCCCATAAGTAGATTGATACAGATGTAGAGATAGAGACAGAGACATAGATGAGAAGGTGGAACAGAATACTTTCATCACAATGGGGTGGGGCTAGAGTACTTAAGTAAGATGTGCGAGTCACAAATCAGTAAGAAAAGAATCAGTTTAGCCCTGGCAGGTTTGGCTCAGCGGTTAGAGCGTCGGCCTGCGGTCCGGAGAGACCCGGGTTCGGTTCCCGCTAAGGGCACGTACTTCGGTTGCAGTTTGTCCCTGACCCTGGTTGGTCGTGCGGTGGCAGCCACTCGATGTGTCCCTTTCACATCGATGTTTCTCTCTATATATCTCTTTCTCTCTCTTCCTCCCACTCTATCTGTACAAAAAATGGAAAAACGTCCTCGGGTGAGGATAAAAACAAAACAAACAAACAAAAAAGAATCAGTTTAGCCCTGGCCGGTTTGGCTCAGCAGGTTAGAGCGTCGGCCTGCAGTCCAGAGAGACCCAGGTTCGGTTCCTGCTAAGGGTACGTACCTTGGTTGCAGTTTGTCCCCGGCCCTGGTTGGGTCATGTGGGTGGCAACCACTTGATGTGTCCCTTTCACGAGGATGTTTCTCTTTCTCTCTCTCCCTCCCACTCTATCTGAACAAAATATGAAAAAATGTCCTCGGGTGAGGATTCAAAAAAAAAAAAAAGGGCAAAGTTGAAACAAAAAAAGGATCAGTTTATATAATCATTTACTCAAAATAAATTTATGCATAGTAACAGTAGCAAAGACAATATTGAAAGACACAAGCTGGGAAAAGATAGTTGCTACGCACATAACACAAAGAGTGAATCAAACTCATGCTCATGGGGGACACAGACCTGCACACAACTAATCATAGAAATTCCAGTTCCTATGAGGAATACTAGGCGAGAAGGTGTGGATTTACAACTAATGGTCTAGAAAGGGAACATAATTCCCAGGCTACATTGTCTAGAAAGTAACCCAAATAGAAATATGAACTTTACCTGGATGGTGGGAAAAAAATGACCAAGTTCCAGACTTAGAGGCTGCCTGCCTAGTTAGCTTCAACTACTTCTGGTCTCTATTGCAAGCTTGAAACAGCTAATCTCAATTGTGATGCCTCTCAGCTCCAAACACACACACACACACACGTGCGTGCACTTCTCATCTGCATATATTTGCTTGTCCTATTCATTTGGCCTGTCACACTTCTGCCCCTCTTCTTTGTCTGGCTCATGCAGATGTCCTCTCCTCAGGTTGACTCTTCTCTGTGCTACCACCTCAGGCCCACCTCAGGCCCACCTGTTAATGGAAGCACTCTACCCCAGTATATTATAATGGTCTGCTTAACTGTCTGTTCCTCACTCCAAACACCCCCAACCCCAGGCTGTGAGCCCCTCTAAGGCCAGGCCTGTGTCCTACATATATCTTTATCCCCAGCACCTCACACAGCCCACTGAAAAGGCTTAAGGAGTATTCACTGAACTAAACTAAACCACAAACACAATGCTATGGAGCACTTCATTCTGTCTGTGAAGAAAGAAGAAGGATCATAGAAGGTTTCACAGAGCAGGTGACATTAGAGCTGGGTCTTGAGAAATGAGAAGTTATAAAAGATAAACAACAAAAAGCTCCAGGGATATCTTAACAGAGTGAAGAAATCTCATCTAATATTATTTAGTGATCATTACCAGATGAATGTTAGCTTTGCCAAGATAGGTATTTTGTCAGTTTTATTCAACTAACTATCCCTAGTGACTGCTACATACTAAGCACTCAATAAATAGCTGTTCAATCATCTAGACACTTATGAGGGGTTTATGGGGATTAAAAAAACAAGTGATGTGATGTAGTAGAGCATCATATAGTACAATCCTATTTGTGATAACTCTGGGTCACTACAATAGAAAACAGATCTGTCTTGACCTCTCTGTATTGCTTAGTTTTGGGCAATGTTGATGCTTAAAATTTTTTGTGGGGAAAAAAGTGAATTAATAAAAATCTAGAATACTATCACATCTTAAAACTGTAAAAGCAGAGCAGCAGAGGGAACATATCATGGGTTCTGATGCTCAGAAAAAAACACCTGGCATCTAAATAAGTTTCTGATACATGCTATCTGGCCTTCAGTAAATTCCTTACTTTTTTCATCAGACATGCTATTAGGGGACTAAACGGATGTAAAGAAGATGTGGTATACACACACACACACCTCTCACATACACAATGGAGTATTAGGCAGTAATAGAAAAAGAATGAGCTTTTTTCTTCAGGGCTGCCTACAGAGATGGTAGCCATCTCCTACTCTGCCTGTGAAACCCAAGATGGTAAAAAAGAGGACCACGAAGCTCATCAGGCACGTTAGGCAGATGTGTCAAAATTAAATGTAACTGATAAAAACCTAGAGGCACTGACAATAGGGTGCACAGAAGATTCAATTTTTTTGTTGGTGTTAATCCTCATCCGAGGATATTTTTCCCTTGATTTTTTTAGATAGAGTGGAAGGGAGGAAGAGAGAGAGAGAGAGAGAGAGAGAGAGAGAGAGAGAGATATCAACGTGTGAGAGAGACACACACATCAATGTGAGAGAGAGAGAGAAACACATAGATGTGAGAGAGACACATTGACTGGTTGCCTCCCACATGACCCTGACCGGGGCTGGGGATCGAACCTGCAACCCAGGTGCATGCCCTTGACTGGGAAGCGAACCCACAACCCTTTGGTCCGTGGACTAATACTCTAACTGCTGAGCCAAACCAGCCAGAGAAGGGCCAGATCTTGATGTCCAACATTGGTTATGGGAGCAACAAGAAAACAAAGCACACGGTGCCTAGTGGCTATTGAAAGTTACTGGTCCACAACATCAAAGAGTCTGGAGTGCTGCTCATGGCCAACAAATCTTACTTTGCAGATCCTGATCATGTCTCCTCTCACAAACGCTAAGCCATTGTGGAAAGAGTGGCCCAGCTAGCCATCAGAGTCACCGATCCCAATGCCAGGCTCCGCAGTGGAGAAAATGAATAGACAGTTTTATGTATGTATGTATGAAATCTTGCCATTTCCCACATGGATGGACTTAGAAGGTATAATGCTAAGTGAAGTTAAGTCAGAGAAAAACAAATACAGTATGATTTCACTTATATGTGTAATCTAAAAAAAACACGCAAACAAACAAAGAAAACAAAACAAAAACAGACTCATAGAAATAGAGATCAAATTGATGGTTGCCAGAGGGGAGGGGGAGAGGGGGAGAGGTGAAAAAGGTGAAGGGGAATGTAGTCAATAATATTGTGATTAGTTTTCACAGTGACAGATGATGACAAGACTTAGTGTGGTGATCACATTGTAAGGAATATAAAGCCAAATCACTACATTATATGCTGGAAACGAATATAATATTATATACCAACTATAAAATATTTAACATAAAATAACACGTATTTAACATAAAAAATACGTAAACGCACATGGGACACTGCCTGGCACAGTAGTCAGTGAATGCCTTCTCTGTAACACGAAAACATTACTAACGGTTAAGATGACAGTCACCAGAGAGAAGAACTGGCAAGTGCTGTAACAGGCCTAGAAAAGGATGAAGAACAAGCTCCTGCTGCCCCTTTGGAAATTTTACATTTGGGGCGGGGGAGACTCTAACCCCTCACGCAAACTAAGTTTCCAGCCGCACCGGCCTCCTGCGTCGCTTCCGCCTCCGAGGCGTTCGAGAGGGCGACGTCCCGGCCAGGCGGGATGCGCGCCTGCGAGCCTCACGGGGATCTCGGAACTGCTCCACCGTGGCGCCTGCCACTACCTTCTCCACCCCTTAGTAACCACGACGCGGCGGCTAGCGGTCTGGGCAGCAACCGGCAGCGGGAGCGTCTACTACAAATCCCAGCAAGCCCCGCGGCCACTTTTGAGGGCAAATTCGCGTCAGCCAGCTGTGAACTACGGATCCCGATGGACTCCGCGCGGCGCGTCACGCCGTGGGCTTCAGCCAATCGGCTTCGGACAAGTAGGAGTGGGAGGGAGACGCAGTGGCAGACAAGATGGCGTCGGCTACCCAGGGCGGGAGAACTGGTGGTGGCGGAGGAAGTAGTGGGGCTGGCGGTGGTCCTAGCTGTGGGTCAGGCAGTGGCCGCAGCGGCTTGTTGGATAAGGTGAGGAGCCAGTTCTTGGGGGGGGGGGTAGTCCAGGCCATCCGAGGCCCGGTAGGCGGTGAGCCCACCATCCCATCCCCGCCCCCCTTTCCTTCAGAGGTTTCTAGGGGGATTACTGGTCTGGCCCACCATGGGAACCGTACGGGCTCCTACAGCCCGCTCTCTCTACACCTCAGATTAGGGCTCTCTCCTCTTTGGGTCATCTTTCCCTTTCCGAAGTGTTCCTGGTTCTGAATGTTGGTCCCCACAGCTTCTTAGGATAACTTGATTATTTCCACATGTCAACGCGGCCGTCGCTTGTCTTCGGTGGTGCTGGGGCTACTGTTGAATGTGCCCATTTCACCGATGGGGAGAACCGAAGCTCGAAGGAACGAAAACAGCTGCTGGAAGTCAATAGTCCCAAACTCCCCACCACGTCTACCACCATCCTTGTGTATCGCTCCGGATTCCAAACTGCTCCCTAGCCTTTGCTTTCTTAAGTTCCTAGGCGTTTTTATCACGGATACCTCGAATACTGAACTTACTTGAGCATTGACTTACCCTCTGGGCTGACAGGAATCCTTTAAGATTGATCGTTTCTCCATTTTCATCACCCCCTCCCAGTTTCCTCTTTCTGCCTCCAAGTACTCTAGGTGAATCGAATTCACGAATTCGCTGCTCGCTCCTGCTTGCCTCTTTACCTCTCCGCCCATCCATTTTATTCCATTTCTTAAAACTGTGGTCCTAGCAATAGTGGTTTAAAAGAAAAGGAAAACTGTTATTGGATTGGTCCTTCTCGTTCTTTGTATAGCATAGCATCTTGGAAGAAACAATTGCATAGAGGTCCTCGTCCTAGTATTGGTTCTGCCTCTAATTAATTAGCTGTGTGACCTTGAAATATGCTTGTTCTCCCTATGCCTGTTTCCTCATCTGTGAAAGGAGGATTTAGCCTTTATGTACCCTAAGGTCCCTTCCAGTTCTCTCATTGTAGGGCCCTGGGCCAGTTTGATGAGACATGTTAAGCATGCAGTTTTTAATATAGTAAACAGTCAGGATTTTTTACTTTATTTGAAAACAGCTTTCAGACTTCCCTGTGCCTAACACATAGTAGGTGCTTAAGAAGTGAAGACATGTATGGCTGGTGTGGCTCAGTGGCTGAGTGTCGACCCATGCACCAAGAGGTCGCTGGTTCCATGCCCAGTCAGGACACATGCCCAGGCTGTGGGCCCGACCCCCAGTGTGGGGCATGCAGGAGTGACCAACTGATGTTCTCTCTCATTAATGTTTCTATCTCTCTCTCTCGCTCTCACTTCCTCTCTCTCTAAAATCAATAAAGGAAAAAAAATTAAAATAAATAAGTATCTTTTTAAAAAGTGAAGACATGATCATGTTGAGGGGTCTTGATCTTTTTGCTTCTGTTTTTGGCTGTCATTGCTTTTGAATTACATAGTTTTCACACTCTTAACCCTTCCTTTTTTTTCTTTATTGATTTTAAAGAGAGAGGAAAAGTGATAGAAACATCGATGAGTGAGAGAGAACGTTGATTGGCTCCCTCCTGCATGTCCCTTGCTGGGGATCTGGCTCACAACCTGGGCATATGCCCTGACCAGGAATCAAACCAGCGACCTCTTGGTGCATGGGTCGACACTCAACCACTGAGCCACACCGGCCGGGCTCTTAACCCTTCTTAAGGCACAGGGACATGTTCTGGCAGTTGGGATGGTAAATTGCTCCAAAATGTGAAAGTGTCCGGAATTGATGGTCATTTTCATACACAAATCCTGCCTTCCTGCTGGGTGAGCACCTCACAGTTTGTGCTCATCCTATTCCATTGCCTCCTTTTGCTCTTCCCTCTATTTGGATTACCACCATCAAACATTAAGCATGGGCATTCTGCTAAGGTATTGATTACTGAAAAGTATATGGCATCATTATGTTACTGAAAGAAACTGGATTTGTGGATATTAAGATTTGGGCTTTGAAGTAGCTCTGCTACTTTCCAATGGTATGAATGCTTGGTTAACCTCACTAAGCCTCCCTTTCTTCATCTGAAGTGTTAGGGTTTTTGGAAGAATCAAATGAGATGATATGCATTAATGATCTCTATAACCTATAGTATCTAATACAAATGTGTGATGGCAGAGGAGTAAATCAAGAATACTCAGTATTGTTGAGTATAGGATTGTGGGGTACCCAGAATATTAAACATAGAAGTTTTTGGTGTATTGTGTACTTTTTACAGAAGTTCAAATGAGAGCGAGAAAACGATCCCTGAGATCTAGTTGATAAGGGAGTAAGGGCTCCAGGGGATGACCTCTTGTCTGAGAGTGGAGCTGGGGCCTTATTTTGGGGGAGAGAGAGGGAAGGCATACATCAGTTAATGTCCTTGGGCAAAGGTACACAGATGGTGCCTGATGTTACCAGAAAGGGGACCTGGCATTTGGCTAGTCTGCCTAGGGCCAGGTTGCTTGTGTGTGGATTCTTGACTTCGTGCAGGAAAAGTTTCAAAGCACAAGTCCAGGTGAATTTTAGAGGACATTTATTAAAGCTGGGGACAGTGAAACAGAAAGGCCTGGGGAAGTAAACCTAGGCTGGTTTACTTTGGTTCACTAAGAAGACAGAAAAGGGAGCCTTGGGGACAGGTTCAGGGGGTTTGCCTGGGATGAACTGCCACTGCTCATTGCTGCCCTGGTTGCAAGTCTTGTGGGTCCCTTAGAGTCTAGAAGGTGCATACCTGTGAGGGAAAAGGGGAAGCGCAGGTGTACTCCTGGGAAGGAGAGCACACACTGGGTTCTTTGTCTTGAGGTTTTTATTTCTCTCTTGCAGGTGGGAATCTTAGGGGAGATTTCAGGGGAGAGTTTCAACAGAATATTTGTCAGTCTTCCAGGTGTGCTTCTTTAGGGTCATGTGTGTCCTCACTGATTGATCAGTGTCAGGGCAGGGGGTCGTTAGTTATCGCAACCCGTCCTAGTGTTGCCTATGTGGTTTTGCTGCTTTTCTGGGTCTGGAGCTGAAATACCACTGAGGCCTAGATGTTATTTCTAGGGAGGCGACCTTCTATATCCGCTGTAAATTGCTCTGTCAGTTGTTCAGCTATCTGTCTCAGTTTCTCTCTTCCACGTGTCCTAGCTTACTAGCTTGTCTCAGTGTTTCTCAGGTCGTGAGTTGACTGGATGGTTCTCTAAGAAACCAGTAGTGACAAGATTGAAGAGGGTATGGATTGCTTGAAGTAGGAGCAGGAAGCTATTGAAGGTTTTTGAGACTAAGTGGTTTTAGGAAAATTATTCAGATAATTTGGAGAGGTAAAAATTAAAAGCATTCTAATAAGGCCTTATACCATAGTAGTGTATAGGATTTAATGTAAAAAGAAAGACAAGTTTAAGTACTAGTGTAGCATGTTAAAAGCTACATGGCCTTGGATAAGTTACTTGGTATTACTGAACTTAAATTTCCTTATGTAAATATTGTGGATGTCCATATATACATATTATAGGATTTTTGTAAGTATTAAATTGTGTAATATTGGTAAATTTTTTTTAAGTACTGTAAAAAAAAGAATGACAAGATGATGAGAATCCCCCAACTTGAATAGCAGAAAAAGATAAAAAGGCCTCACAAAGGAGCACTTGATAAGATAGAAGTAAGTCAAGAGCTGTTTAGGTACTTCCTTTTGGAAAACTTCATTTCTGCCTTACATTGCGTTATTTCCCTTTTGAATTCTCTAGCATTTATGGCACATGGGAATTAAGATATCATTTAATGAGACATACTGTCTCGTATTGTCCTAATTTGTATGTGTCCATTTTCCCATGAAGAGAGTCTGGAATAAGTACTTGCAGTATTGAGTTCAGCAGAGAAAAAACACTTAAGATCTGCTGCCTCAGTCTTGAGAAACAGCCTTAGAAGATGGTGCTTCTAGTTGCCTGAAAACAGGGTACTGTGGAAGAGAACATCACAGTGGGGCAGGATCTGAATGAATAGAGAAATTTCTGTTCTGTGGGAATGAGAGGCTGTTACCTTATAGTCTCTTTGATTTGATTTGTCTTGATTTTTTGGAGGGTTTTTATTTTATATCCTTTAGCTGTAATTTCACTTGCCATAAACAAATGTAATAAAGAGATACAAATGTGCTTATAGCTTTCCCTAAGCAGATGTGAATTTCTGTTCCTATGAAACTGACTTTAAGAACAAAGCACTTCTAGTCTCCTGATCTTAAAAATAGGTATGCAAATATAATCTTCTAAACTCCATCAGAGAATAACTTAGATCATTGCAGGAAGTTATTTTGCCCAAAATACATGAAAGCATTTTGTTCTACATAGCAGGCTATAAAGAAAAATTGCTTAATTCATTTTGGCTATTAAAATTAATATGTTGTATTAAACCATTTTGTCCAGAAACTACACCCAAATTCTTTCTGTATCTTGACTGGATTTATTTTGGCTATTAAAATTGTTTTGGCATGCCCAAACAGTGTGGCTCAGTAGTTGAGCGTCAACCCATGCACCAAGAGGTCGCCGATTTGATTCCCAGTCAGGACACGTGCCCAGGTTGGGGGCCAGGTTGGGGGATGCAGGAGGTGGCCAGTCAGGGTTCTCTCTCACTGATGATTCTATCTCTCTCTCCCTCTTCCTTCCCCTCTCTCTCTAATATATCAATAAAGAAAAAAATTTAAAAAAAAATTTTATGAAGATACCAACTTAAAAAAATTTCTTTTGGCTATTAAAATGTAGTATTAAACCATGCTTTCTAGAAGCTATATCCAGACCCTTTTAACCTCCTAGCTGAATTTCTGTCTCCTGGCAGGACTGTCAGCTTAATCTTCAAGTCCAGCTTTTTTATCTTAGTATTTGAGAACACAGGCTCTGGAGCCAGGCCATCTGTTTGTCTTTGAATCCTCTCTCTGCAATTTACCAGGTGTGTTCTTGGGCAAGTTAGTAAATCTGTTTGTATCCATTTCTTCATCTGCAAAGTGGCAATAATTATAGTATTTACCCTAAAAGGTGGTGTCTGTCACATAGTAAGTACTCAACAAAATATATATAGCTACTGCTAACTAGCATATTTTTCATAACATGATATGGAGGCTGTCTACATCAGACCCCTTTGGAGCCCTAGTTAAAAATACAGACCTCGTCCCAGACCTGAATCAGATTCTCTGGAGGTGAAACCTGGACATCTGCATGTTTTTACACATAGTTATTTATTTCCACTACATTTTTTTTTATTCCTCACCTGAGTATATTTTTCTACTTATTATCAGACAAAGTGGGAGGGAGGGAGGGAAAGAGAGAGACAGAGAGAAATATTGGTGCAGTAGAGCCACAGGGCCGGGGATGGACCACAACCAAGGTACGTGCCCTTGACCAGAACTGAACCCGTGACTCATTGGTCCGTGGGCTGACACTCTAACCACTGAGCCAAACTGGCCAGGGCTATTTCCTCTACATTTTAATAGTTCCTTCTGGGTTGAAAACTACTATCCTAGATGACTTTTTAAATATCTTCTCGTTCTGACATTTTAAGTGTTTTTGTTTGTTTATTAACTATTTTGCTTAGCTAATAGTGTATTCTCGAAAATGTTTATAATGAGGAGACCTTGAAGCTCATCTGTCCCAACCTACTCATTTTATAGACATAGACACAGTTGGACAGGGAAGAGAAGCAACTTGCTCAAGATCACATAGTAACAATCCAGACCCTGGCTTTCCCAGTTCTTAATCCAGTTCTCTTACCTTACTTAGTACATTGCTTCTCATTCTGGAGCAGGCTATGTTCTAGCTAATGTAGCAGTGGAAAGAATATCTGTTTTGAGTTTGGAAGACTTGGACTTAAGCCTTGGCTTTGTCACCTACAAACCATGTTTCCGTAGACAGGTCATTTATGTCCTCTGTTACTCTCAGTGATGGTATCTTAGCTTGCCAGACTTTTGGGGGGTATGCCTGTATCCTGACCCAGCTCTGACAAAGACAATCAACATTTTTATGGCATTACTGTAACTGTGTGTGTGTTTAAAGAAACAAGGTGCTGGCTTCTTAACATTGTGTTGCAAACTAAACTTTAATAGTATTACAAAACTTATTTTAACTTTAAAATTAAAAACATTTTTTTGTGTGTCAAAGGACACTATCAAGAAAGTGAAGACAACTTACAGAATGAAGAAAATATTTTTCAATCATATATCTAATAAGGGTCCAATATCTAGACGATATAATCTTATAACATAATAATAAAAAGACAGCCCAGTTTTTATCATCCTCACCCGAGGATATTTTTCCATTCTTTGTTCAGATAGAGTGGGAGGGAGAGAGAGGAACAGAGAGAGAGGGAAACATCGATGTGAAAGCGACACATCGAGTGGTCGCCACCCGCACAACCAACCAGGGCCAGGGACAAACTGCAACCGAGGTACATGCCCTTAGCGGGAACCGAACCCGGGTCTCTCCGGACCGCAGGCCGATGCTCTAACCGCTGAGCCAAACCGGCCAGGGCGACAGCCCAGTTTTTAAAAGAATAAAGGATGTGAATAAACATTTCTCCACAGAAGATATACAGATGGCCAATAAGCACATGAAAAGATGCTCAACATATTAGTCATTAGAGAAATGCAAATCAAAACCACAATGAGATACCTCTTCACACCCACTAGTATGGCTATAATAAAAAACAAAACAGTGTTGGTGAGGACGTGGAGAAAATGGAACCCTCTTTCATTGCTGGTGGGAGTGTAAAGTGATGCACCCACTTTGAAAGACTATCAATTCTTCAGTAAGTTAAATATAGAGTTACCATATGACTGGGCATATTCCACTTCTAGGTATAAACCCAAGAGAATTGAAAATGTATGTCTGGCCAGCCAGTGTTGCTCAGTGGATTGAGTGTCGTCCTGTGGACTGAGAGGTCCTGGTTTGATTCCCGGTCATGGTACATGCTGGGTTGCAGGCTTGATCCCCAGTAGAGGGCGTGCAGGAGGCATCCGATTGATGTCTCTCTCACGTCGATGTTTCTATCCCTCCCTCTCTAAAAAAATCAATAAAAACTTATTTAAAAAAAAAAAAATGTGTGGCTGCACAAAAACATGTATGCAAGTGATCACAGCAACATTATTCACAATAACCAAAAGGTGGATACAACCCAGGTATCCATTGACAGATGTATGGATAAACAAAGTATGGTATATCCATGCAGTAGAATATTTGGCTATAAAAAGGAATGAAGTACTGATACCTCTTACAACATGGATGAACCTTCAGAACATGTTCAGTGCGAGAAGTCAGTCACAAAAGACTGCATATTGTATGAGTCCATTTAGTATATGAAATGTCCAGAATAGGCAAATCCAAGCAGACAAAAAGTAGATTAGTGGTTGCCAGGGCTGGAGGGCAGCTGGGAGGGGAGAAACTGCTTATGGGTATGGGGTTTCTTTTTTGAATGATGAGAATGTATTCTGGAATTAGTGGTGATAGTTCCACAACCTTGTGAGTATAATTAAAAAACTACTGAATTGTACATTTTAAAGTGGCCAGTTTTATAGTATGTGAATTGTATTTTAATTGAAATTCTTTTTAAAAATCTCTACAGTGCTTATCAAGTAACCTTTGAAGCTTCAAATTATTAATATTATTATTAACTGCTTATTCACTCTCATGTAACTCTGTGATAGCACTGAAGTTAACAACTTCCATTTGCCCAGGTCCCTTTTTTGGCTATAGTCTGCACCATTTCTCTGCTGTGTCCTTCATCTTGTAAAATCTCAATAATAGTTTTTCATATTAACTTGACCTTTCAGTAGTATTTGACTCATTGCTCACTTCTTGAAATATTTTCTTTATGTGGCTTCAAGAACACTACTCGCCCCAGGTTTTCTTCCTCCTTCACTAGTCTCTGTCTTTATTTTTATTTATTTTTTGTCTTCTTTCTGGTCTGTAAATATTGGCAAGCCTTTGGCCCTCTCTATCTACACTCATTCCAAAGAGATACCCAGTGTCATGGCTTAAGTTGATGACTTCCACATTTATATTTCCAACCTGGACTTTTCCCCTGAACCACAGACTTATATGTCCAACTGCCTACTTGCCATCTCCACTTAGATATCTAATATATTTTTATATATTTATATTTTATATGTGATAAATATATAATGATTACTGTTATAAACGCTCTTACGTTTATAGCCTATGTATTATTTCATGTCTATGTGGATATGGAATAATTACCAGAAGTGGGGAGTTGAATTCAAGGTGTTAAATTGTTTTCTATCGGTGTTGTACCAATTTGAATTTCTGCCAACGTGTGAGAGAATCACTTGCCTCTAAGTAGCACAGTATTTGGTAACTTTTCTCAACCTCTGTAGATGATGGAAATTGAAGCAGAGTTTGTCCAAAAGTCACAACTCACTGGTGATATAACTTGGTTTTTAATTCAAAATGTGTTTTCCAACAGACTACACTGGATTTGCTGTTTCCAGTTAAGACATGCTGGTAAAACATAAAAGTTGTTAGCTGACAGAGATTTATTAAAGGAGACCGTCCTCATTTTGTTACTTACTGTCTAAAAGTCCATGGGTATATATTTTCTGAGTTTTGTGGTCACAGCATGAAAGGATGACCAAGTGGAGATCTTTTCTGTCCTCACATTGGGGTAGAACAGGGATGGGATATGTGAGTTCACACGGTAGTCTCTGTAGCCCACGTAAGCGTTCTGGTTTTGGGCTTATAGATTTTGACTTCTCAGCTTGGAGACTGGTAACATCATAAATACCACCTGATTCCAGTGACCCTACTCTTTTTCACTTTCATTTCTAAGTGTTTTATCTTTTATTTTTATTATTATTATTTTTATTTTTTTTTTTTTTATCCTCACCCGAGGATATTTTTCCATTTTTTGTACAGATAGAGCGGGAGGGAGAGAGAGGAAGGGAGAGGGAGAGAGAGAAACATCGATGTGAAGGGACACATCGAGTGGCTGCCACCCGCACGACCAACCAGGGCCGGGGACAAACTGCAACCGAAGCGGGAACCGAACCCGGGTCTCTCCGGACCGCAGGCCGACACTCTAACCGCTGAGCCAAACTGGCCAGGGCTATTTTTATTTTTATATTTTATCCTCACCCGAGGACATTTTTGTGTTTATCTTCAGATATAGTGGGAAGGAGAGAGGGAGGGAGGAAGAGAGAGAGACACATTGGCTGCCACCCACACAACCCCATGGGGCAGGGACAAACTGCAACTGAGGTACATGCCTTTAGCGGCAACCTGCCTTTAGCGGCAACCGAACCCAGGACTCTCAGGTCCGCAGGCCAATGCTCTAACCACTGAGCAAAACCAGCCAGGGCAAAGTGTTTTGTCTTTTATTTTATTTTTTTATTTTTTTATCCTCACCTGAGGACATTTCCTCATTTTTTGTTCAGACAGAGCAGGCGGGGAGAGGGAGGGAGAGAGAGAGAGAGAGAAACATCGATGTGAAAGGTACACACATCGAGTGGCTGCCACCTGCAGGACCCAACCAGGGCCGGGGACCTACCGCAACCACGGTATGTGCCCTTAGTGGGAACCGAACCCGGGTGTCTCTAGACCACAGGCCGACGCTCTAACCGCTGAACCAAACCGGCCAGGGCTGTTTTGTCTTTTAAATGTCCAACATCAGAAGAGCAAGAGTAAATGATACTTGTACTTAAGGATGTTCTTAAGGAAGTAGTTAATTTTACTTTCAGTAAGATGCTATATCTCCTGATGCACAATTCTTCTGTTTGTTTTACAGTGGAAGATTGATGATAAGCCTGTAAAAATTGACAAATGGGATGGATCAGCTGTGAAGAATTCTTTGGATGATTCTGCCAAAAAGGTACTTTCTTGAGGTGGGGGTCTGTTAGCATGTGTACATCTGGTGGCTCTTCTGCAGGATCTTTTTCGTCTGTCACTTAGAATGACCTTAATTTTCAATATTCTGAATTGAGCCAGAAAGCAGTTTCTAAAATTCTTAACAGTGTATGTGGGGGAGCATGTGTTAAAGTATAAATGTTAGTAATCTACCTCAAGCCCCTCCTCAAATTCTCTAACTTTTCTATTTCAGAAAGCTCTGAATCTGTATTTTGTTTGTTTTTTAGGTTAATTAGCTAAGAGCCAAGAACACGGAAGGAATATAAAACATTCATCCATGATTGGTCATCTCTCCATCTAAAAAGGGAAAATAAAATTTTAGCTTCATCCTAGGGAATAAGTTGAGGATTTAAAAAATGTATGGGAAGTTGAACTTTTTCTCTGGGATATGTTGTAAACAAATTTTCCACTATTAAGTCTTTTTACTTGGAGTGGTAAAATTCTGATTAGAGAAAACTACTTAGTGATTTATATGACTCCAGTGTAGCTTTTATCATGGAAATTAAGAATAAAAGCAAGTTCTAGGAAGGAAGCATTCCTGTTAGCTTGATTCCTTTTTCTTCTCACTAGGTACTTCTGGAAAAGTACAAGTACGTGGAGAATTTTGGTCTAATTGACGGTCGCCTCACCATCTGTACCATCTCCTGTTTCTTTGCCATAGTGGCTTTGATTTGGGATTATATGCACCCTTTTCCAGAGTCCAAGCCTGTTTTGGCTTTGTGCGTCATATCATATCCTTTATTTATACTCAAGTTTATTTTCTAGCGACTATTTTAACATGTCTACTGATAACCTCCCTCCTCCCTGCAAAAAACAAACTTTGATCTGGGACCCTGCTAATGATAGAATTTAACATTATTAGCTGTGGGAATATCTGTAAATTTATCTGGTAATTATCACTGACATTTTAGATTTAATATGGTTATTTTATATTTTTAATTCTATTTAGTTATTAATAGAGGTTGTTATAATCCAAGTGTTAAGCACCTGATAGCAAAATACAGAAATAGTAACAACCCAGCTCTTATTTCTAGTCCAGAACTTCTCCCATTAGACCAGATTGCTTCAAGTTACTCATTCCAGTATATTAGGAAAGGACCAGATTTGGGAGGTTCAGATCTATGCCAGGTTTTCTTGAAGCTGAGGGGCTGGACTGGGAGTTACTGAGCATGAGGTATAGGTGTGGCTTGTGTAACGGTGGGATTAAGAACCTATTCTGGAGCTAGAGAAACCTGGGCTTGAAATCCAAGCTATTTTTGATCTTGTGCTAATAAGAACTTAACTTTTTTGAGACTGTTCAAATGCTGCTCATTTATAAATATGAGTAATATACACTCAGAATTATCATTGTGGTAGGCAGTTTATTTTTCTTAACAGTGTTGCCACAACCTGAAATATTTCTAAAATCTCTACTTTGGGAATTTTTCTTCAAAGGTATTTAGCAAGCAGATCCTGATTTTTAAAAAATGGTATTATCCAAATTGATCCCAAATCATAGTCCCCAGACTTGGTACCTACAAATCATCCAATTATGACATTTTCCACTATTAAGGCAATTCAAAAGAATATGCCATAGGTTCTAGAGACAGTTCCCCAAGTAGTTCTAAAGAGGTTGAAGAATGAGAGCAACATTACTAGAAAATAGGCCCTCCCAAAAGAACAACCTCGATGGAATTTTGTTGGGTTATATTTGTTTAAAACTAAGATCTTGCCATTTTTATAATTGTGTTAATTTTATATATAATAGTAAAAACTATTACTATGTTTTCTGTGTGCTAGACATTGAACAATATATGTCATCTCTAAATCTCATGACAATTCTAAGAAGTCGGTATTATCCCCATTTTAGAGGTGACAATTAAGCCTTGGGGAAGGAAGTAATTTTAACATTGGTTAAAAGCCAGAATTCAGATCTAGGACTGCCTCCCTCCAAAGCCCATACACTTTGCACCATACTACCTGCCTCTCACTGTCATAAAATTTAAATAACATGGTGTATACAAAGCTCTTATGCCAATTTCTGGCACATAATAGGTCAAAAACTGAATATAATATCTGTGTATATAGGAAGTAATTGTTCTCATAGTAAGCTAATCTGAAGTCACTTCTCTTCTCTTTTAATGACCCTTGAAATTGATCGAGCTTGGTCAAGTCCACTGTGATTATTAGTTTTGTTTTAATCCTCACCCGAGGATATATATTTCTTCTATTTATCTTCAGATAGAGTGGGAGGGAGGGAGGGAGAAAAAGAGAAACATCAATGTGACAGAGACACACCGACTTGTTGCCTCCTGCACAACCCTGACCAGGCCCGGGGACGAACCACAGCCCTGAGGTATGTGCCCTTGACTGGAATCAAACCCGCAACTCATTGGTCTGCGGGCTGATGCTCTAACCGTTGAGCCAAACTGGCCAGGGCTAGTTTTGTATTTTATAGAGAAATAAGCACAAGTCTTGACAAACTAGGAAACTGGATCTTATACATGTTATCCTTAAACAGAAAAGATAAGAGCTGGTTTATGCCTTCTATAATTTTCCTTTCTTCCCTTTTGAAGTATTCCCCTTTGAAGTATTCTAACCTGAGAGAGCCTTGCTTCTCTTGGTACATAAACATAAGAATGAAAATGAAATAACTAAATTTTAACCCTGGCCAATTTGGCTCAGCGGTTAGCCCAGGTTCGGTTCCCGCTAAGGGCATGTGTACCTTGGTTGAAGTTTGTCCCCATCCCCAGTTGGGGTCATGTGGGTGGCAGCCACTCAACGTGTCTCTCTCACATCGATGTTTCTCTCTCTCTCTTCCTCTCTTTTTCCCTCCTGCTCTATCTAAAGATAAATGCAAAAAAATTTTCAGTGTTTTTGCAGCAAGACAAAACTCTTCTTTAGTAGTTTTTGTAGTCCTTGCTTGTCAATTTGTGTTTGTTCTCTTTTGTGTATATGTTTGTGTATTTTCCCCTTAACTTTATTCGAACCTATTTTGTGATGATGGGGATCCTGACCATTTATACCTCATATAAGGAGAAAAGCATCTTCCTTGTAGCCCACAGGAAGGATCCTACAGGGATGGATCCTGATGATATTTGGCAACTGTCCTCCAGTCTCAAAAGGTATGACTATCCTCACAGATTCTTAAATCCTGGTATTGAGTCATTTTCAGCAACAAATTATTGTACGCCTACTCTGTGCAAATCATAGTACTAGTCACATAAAATGAAGAAAGGGGTATGAATGATTTAGAAACTTTCTGAGCATTGCAGTTCTGAGCTTGCATTATCACAGACATGCTCTGAGGATAAAGTCTGCGAGAAAGTACTTTGGTGGAAGAATGATTCTCTTTTTCCTTGTGGCTGATTAACTGAGTCAGTTAGGGTACAGAATTGCAAACGCTAAAGGTGGGAAGTCAGTTATCTTTGAAGAATCCCATTAGCGCCCTGGCCAGTTTGGCTCAGCGGTGGTACAGAGAGACCCGGGTTCGGTTCTCGCTAAAGGCGTGTACCTCAGTTGCAGTTTGTCCCCGGCCCTGGTTGGTCATGCAGGTGGCAGCCACTCGATGTGTCCCTTCACATCGATGTTTCTCTCTCTCTCTCTTCCTCTCTCTCCCTCCCACTCTATCTGAACAAAAAATGGAAAAATGTCCTCGGGTGAGGATTTAAAAAAAAAGAATCCCATTAGCTTTCATTTCTTTTATGATCATGACTATACTCTGCAATCAGGAATCTCTGAAGCAATGTACCAGGCAGCTCAGAGAAGGACAGTTCAGTCTGCTTCTGACCAGCAGTGGGTATAACTTTGTCCACCTGACAACTGATGTCTTTCTAGATATCCAGAATTGGGTTCAAATTTCAGCTCATTTCTTTCCAGCTGTATGACTTTTGATATGTTATGTAAACTATTTGAGCTTTATCAGGTTCATAATGACTTGTGGAGTTGTTGGGAATATGAGATACTAGTTATAATAATGGCAAATTTCTGCTGAGCATATACTGGATATTGTGCCAAGAATATTATCTCCTATAAACCTTAGAACAACTCATTTTTAAAATAAGAACACAGGCCCAGCCAGTGTGACTCAGTGGTAGAGCATCAACCCATGCACCAACAGGTCCGCCAGTTAGATTCTTGGTCAGGGCACATGCCCAGGTTGTGGGCCAAATCCTCAGTGGGGGGCATGCAGGAGGCAGCCAGTCGATGTTCTCTCTCATCAATGTTTCTATCTTTCCCTCTCCCTTCCTTTCTCTCTAAAATTAGTAAAGGAAAAAAAAAGTAACATAAGAACACAGGCCTAAAGGGTTCAATTAATTCTTCCAGGGTCATACAGCTCAAATATGAATTCTAGTACATATTCCAGCCCACACCTGAGCCCAGAATTCATGCTTTTTTTTTTTTTTTTTTTTATCCTCACCCGAGGACATTTTTCCTTTTTTTTTTGTTCAGGTAGAGTGGGAAGGAGAGAGAGGAACAGAGAGAGAGAGAGAAACATCGATGTGTTCACATCAAGTGGCTGCCACCCGCACAACCGACCAGGGCCAGGGACAAACTGCAACCGAGGTACGCGCCCTTAGCGGGAACCGAACCCGGGTCTCTCAGGACCGCAGGCCAACGCTCTAACCGCTGAGCCAAACCGGCCAGGGCCATGCTTTTTTTTTTTTAAAGATTTTTTTAATAGATTTTTTTTTTTTAGAGATAGAGGAAGTAGGGCAGGGGAGAGGGAGGGAGAGGGAGACATCAGTGTGAAAGCAGAACATCAATTGGCTACCCTCTTGCATGCTCCCTGGGATTGAGCCTGTTACCCTGGCATGTGCCCTGACCAGGAATTGAACCAGCAACCTTTCAGTACACAGGATGACACCCAACCAACTGAGCCACACTGGCCAGGGAAGAATTCATGCTCTTAGTCACAATCCTAAAAACACATGGTACAGTTTCTAGCATATAGTAGACTCTCAAATTATAAGTACAATTATTCACAAATATGAAGGTAAGTATAGCATCAGTGCCAAAAAGCCTCTCGTTACCAACTTGATGGATGCCTGTTAGGAGGAGCAAACCTTCATTTTGATGTTGCAGCTGAGTTCTTAATCTCCTCCTGGTAGGTCTCCTAGCTGCCCTTTTGGCTTTGGCCATCCTAAATCTATACCTTGTGCCAGGCCACTGAAGCAGAGTTGCAGAATTCAAGACCTGAATAACATCTTAATTTGTTTTTATCCTCACCCAAGGACATTTTTGCATTTATCTTCAAATAGAGCGGGAGGGAGAGAAAGAGGAAGAGAGAGAAAGAAACATTGATGTGAGAGAGACACATTGAGTGGTTGCCACCCACACAACCCCAACTGGAGCCGGGGACAAACTGCAACCAAGGTATATGCCCTTAGTGGGAACCAAACCTGGGTCTCTCTGGTCCATGGGCCGACACTCTAACCACTGAGCCAAACCAGCCAGCGCACTAACGTGTTTTTTATTTTATTTATTTATTTTTTATCCTCACCCGAGGATATTTTTTCATTTTTTGTACAGATAGAGTGGGAGGGAGAGAGAGGAAGGGAGAGAGAGAGAAACATCGATGTGAAGGGACACATCGAGAGGCTGCCACCCGCACGACCGACCAGGGCCGGGGACAAACTGCAACCGAAGTACGTGCCCTTAGCGGGAACCGAACTCGGGTCTCTCCGGACCGCAGGCCGACGCTCTAACCGCTGAGCCAAATTGGCCAGGGCACTAACGTGTTTTTTAAAGTTTCGTTGAAATATAGTTCACATACCATACAGTTTACCCATTTAAAGTGTATACAGTTCAATGGTTGCTGGTGTATGGTACAGATATTTGCACCCGTCACCACAGTCAACTTTAGAACATTTTCATCACCTCAAAAGAAAAGCCTGTATACCCTTAGCTATCATTTCCCTATCTCCCCATTTTTCACAATGTTAACCACTAATCTACTTTCTGTCACTGTAGATTTTCCTGTTTTGCCTATTTCATATGAATGAATCATATAATGTGTGATTTCTTTTCTGTGACAGGCTTCTTTCACTTAGCCTAATGTTTTCAAGGCTCATCCACGGTGTAGCATGCATCAATATTTCATTCGTTTTTATGCTGAATAATGTCCCACTGCATGTGTATACCACATTTTGCCTATCCATTTATTAGTTGATGGATATTCCACCTTTTGGCTATTATGAATAATGCTCCTCTAAACATTTGTGTACAAGTTTTTTGTGTGGACATGCATTTTCATTTCTTAGGTAATTTATCTAGGAGAGGAATTGCTGGATCAAATGGTAATTCTTTTTAAACTGCTTAAAGAACTACCAGTTAGTTTTTCAAAACAGCTGTACCATTTTACAGTCCAACTAGCATTGTATAAGGGTTCTGATTTTTTCATATTCCTTGCTGATTTTTACCAATTGCCACATTGTTGGTACCTGTGGAGAGGAAATATGCCACCTCTTTTCTTTCTGATTGCAGTTAGATCCACTTCTCTTTCCTTGAAGAAAGCTCCCGGCTCATTGGCACTCTCTCTAACAACTCTTTCGAGAAGTCTTGGTGATTCAATATACCCTAATGGACAATTATTCTAGTACTTTGTCCTCTCACTTTTACTACTTCTTTTTTTTTTTTTTTAATACTCACCTCAGGACATTTTTCCATTTTATTGTTCAGACAGAGTGGAAGGGAGAGAGAGAGAGAGAGAGAGAGAGAGAGAGAGAGAGAGAGAGAAAGAAACATCGATGTGAAAGGGACACGTCGAGTGGTTGCCACCTGCACGACCAACCAGGGCTGGGGATAAACTGCAACCGAGGTACGTGCCCTTAGCGGGAACCAAACCCGGGTCTCTCAGGACTGCAGGCCAACGCTCTAACCGCTGAGCCAAACTGGCCAGGGCACTTCTTTTCTGATTGTCTTGTTTTCTACCAGGTCTTTTTTTGTTGTTGTTAATACTCAACCAAGGATACCTTTCCAATGACTTTCAGATAGCGTGGAAGGGAAGGAGGGAGGGGGAGAGAGAGAGAAACATCGATATGAGAGAGACATCTCAATTGGTTGCCTTCCACATGACCTTGACTGGAGCTGGGGATTGAACCTGCAAGCCAGGTACGTGCCTTTGACCGGGAATTGAACCCATGACCTTTGGTCCTTGGGTCAACGTTCTAACCACTGGGAAAAACTTGCCAGAGCTCTACCAAGTCTAAAGCACTTATTTCCTTGGGCGTATACTAGAACTTGCTGTTACTGATAACTAATTACCTTCAGTAATTTCAGTTTTAAGTATCACACTCTCTGACTGCTGCTTCCTATTTTTCTAGTTTATCTCCTTGTAGTTAGTTCTCTTGTTCTGATAGTTCTTCAGCCCCATTGGCAACCATTGATCGTGCCACTTTTTCACTGTCCATCTTCCCTCTCATTTCCTCCTTGCCCAGCTTAGATTCCGTGGTATTTTTGTAGTCTAGTTACTCTCTTATTGTCCTAGAGGATCTTTCATAACTTCTTAATCTTCAAACCTCCTCCCCTCCGCCTATACCTTTACTCTCAGCCTCTTTGTTCCTGAGAGGATAGAAGCAACCAGAAGTCCCACATAATTACCTGCTCTTCCTAGTCCGCCTTTCTAACTTCTTGTCTGATGCTGCCTCTCCGTTTGTCCACTAGATTCTTACCCCTTCTCATTTACTTGATGTTTCTCCTTTTGCTGAATTGTTCTTTCTGGCATGTAAACAAGCTGTAATTTCTTCCAGCTAAAAAAAGTTGTTTTTCTTTCCCATTATTCTCCTCCCACAGTGTTCTCATTTCTTTGATCCCCATTTCTTCTTCTCCCATTATCTTCTAATCTGCTCTTGTATTCAATTCTCTTTCCTTATTGTACTTGACCTGTCAGCAGCATTTGACACAGTGGATCACTCTTTTGTTACATTTTTTTTTTAAACTAGGCTTCTAGCATACCATAATCTTCTAATTTTCTTTTTACCTTAATGTCTGTTCCTTAGTCTCTTATAATTCTTCGTTATTCCCTTTCTCTAAATTTGAAATGTGACCAGTGCTTCTTTCTAGCACCTCTTCTCTAGATTCACTCACTAGGTGTAATCTTACTAGACTTTCAAGAATTTAAACACCATCTATATGATGGAGATCTTTCTATCTGAATTTTTATCCTAGCCCTCTACTCTGAACTCCAAATCTATCCCAGGTTTCTATTTGACACTGGATCCTCTCTCAGTCCTTCCAACAAATCTTGTCGGCTCTACCTTCTAAATATATTCAATTTGACCTCTTACCATCTCCACTGTTACCAACATCTCTCAATTAGGTTATTGTAATAAAGTCCTAATGGACCTCTAGCTGCTCTCCCTGCTCGTAGTCTATTCCCAGTGCAATAGGCTGAGTAATCATTTTAAAAATTAAGGTAGATCAGCTTAATCTCCTGCTCAAAACCCTACTCAAAGAAAATAAAAAAAACCTAAAATCTTAAGCATAGCTTAGAAATGCATACTTACCTATTCTCTGCTCCCATACATATATGCAAACACATATCCCTCATCTCCTGTGGCTTTTAACCTCTCCCACTTTATTACATTCTTTCTCATTGGTCTCTTTTCTGTTCTTCACATGTTCCAGGTATGTTTTTGCCCCAGGACCTTTGCATTTGCTGTTTCCTTTACCTGGAATCTTCTTTTTTCAGGTAGCTTGTTTTCTTACCTTCTTTGGGACTCTGCTCAAACATCAGCTGGTGAAGTCTTTCCTACCTACCATATTTAAAAGCAGTATCGTATTTATTTTCCCCTTTATTGATTTTATAGAGAGAGGAAGTGAGAGGGAGAGAGAGCTAGAAACATCGATGAGAGAGAACATCGATTGGCTGCCTCTTGCATGCCCCCCACTGGAGATCAGGCCCACAACCTGGGCATGTGTCCTGACTAAGAATTGAACTGGTGACCTCTTGGTGCATGGATCGACGCTCAACCACTGAGCCACACCAGCTGGCGCAACATCGTATTTTTTATTTTATTGTTGGTTTCCTTACACACACTAAAAGTCCCAAAGGCAGAGATTTGTCTGTTGTGTTCACTGCTGTATATCCTTAGCATCTAAAAGTGCCTGACATGTATAGTTGGGGCTGAATAAAATAGTTATTGAATTAGTGATTAACAATTTCTAAAATGCATTGGATCACAACTCATCAGGTTCTGCCATCACTGCCATGTAACTGCCAAAGGAAGTGGGTCCCAGTGTCCTGATATTGCTGTGATATCAGCAGCGGTAGGTTAGAGTTCGAGAAAAAATTTGAGGTGTTGAAAATAGTTCAAGAACCTTTACTGCTAGCTATCCAGGTCGGAAGTAACTGGCTAGATGGCAGTTTATTGAGTTGTGATTTTTTTCAGTGCTGGTTAATGATAGGCACTATTTTAACCATGACAGTGATCCTGAAAAGTAGGTGGTAGTTTTCCTATTTTACCTTTTTTTTTTTTTCAGGTACAACTACATATTTGTATATGCAGTGAGTACCTTTTTTTTTTTTTATCCTCACCCGAGGACATTTTTCCATATTTTGTTCAGATAGAGGTGGGAGAGAGAGAGAGAGAGAGAGAGAAACATCAACGTGAAAGGGACACATCAAGTGGCTGCCACCTGCATGACCCAGCCAGGGCCAGGGACAAACTGCAACCGAGATACGTGCCCTTAGTGGGAACCGAACCCGGGTCTCTCTGGACCGCAGGCCGATGCTCTAACCGCTGAGCCAGACCGGCCAGGGTAGTTTATTTTTCTTTTCTTTTTTTTTTTTGGTACATGCCCCTAATGGGAACCGAACCCTGGACTCTCTGGTCCGCAGGCTGACGCTCCATCCACTAAGCCAGTCCAGCCACGGCAGTTTTCCTATTTTAATGTGTAGAAATGAGCTCAAGCAACTGCTTCCTTAAAAGGTAATACCAGCCTGACAATCCACTGAACATGTCCTAATTAAATGGAGGCAGAAACATGGGGGTCAGGAAGGATTGTCAGCCTGCTAGAGGTTGATGGTATAAACTTTCTTGAATGGGTGGAGATAGTGAAGGCCTTCAAGATACCTTAAGGTGTAACTAAGGAATCTCTGTGGAGTTCATGGAGTAAAAGACATCCCTGGCTGGGTTGGTATCAGGGTAGAACCTGGAGCTAGATTGATGACAGGGTATAAGGACAGAGCAGCCTGAAATTGGGGAACATCTGTGAAAACAAAAGTTCTTCATTTATTTATAAAAATGTGATTGCCCAGCATGTGCCAAGCTGCGAATAGAATACAAAGAAGACAAAATTTTTGCTCTCAAGAATCTGAGTCGCCTGAAGAGTACAAATACATAAACATTATTTCAATAGGTAATTTCATTGATAGCATGGGAGCCTATCATTGAACTTGGCATATGATAGGCACTCAATATTTTACTATTGATTGATGGTGCTGTGGAAGAAAAAGGAGAGACATCTGACCCAGTTTGGGAAGGCTTTCTCAGAGAAGTTTATGCCCTAGTATTAACAAATAGGAACCAGTCAGTTGAGATTGGAGGGAAGTGTCTGCTAGGAAGACCCTTCTAGCATAACAAGTAATAAAGTCCAGAGATGGGAGAAGATATTCCATATGGCTTAACAGTCTGTGACAAGGTAAAGGAGGTACACAGTAATTAAATCAGGGACACAATGCAGCACCTATGAATCAGAATTTGTATCTTGAAGGCAGTTAGGAGCCCCTGGACTTTTTTTTATTTTTTATTTTATTTTATTTTTTAAAATAAATCTGTGTAGACCTCTCATCTCTGTTCTTTGAAAATCCTTGGTGCTCTACTATATTACTGGTTGAATCTCTGTGTTTGGTTTTTTATTTATTATCTTTGCTTAGGTTTGATGACAAATACACTCTGAAGCTGACCTTCATCAGTGGGAGAACAAAGCAGCAGCGAGAAGCTGAGTTCACCAAATCCATTGCTAAGTTTTTTGACCACAGTGGGACACTGGTCATGGATGCATATGAACCTGAAATATCCAGGCTCCATGACAGTCTTGCCACAGAAAGAAAAATAAAATAGCCAATTCTAAGAGCAACCATCTTTTGCAAGATCATGCGGAATTACAGGATGAGAAGGAAAGAAGGAGAGAAAAGTAAAAAAATGTTAAATGTTCCTGTTTTGACCTGGAATTTAGTCCATTCTGGATAAATAGGATTTTCTGTCTGAGATATGAGAAATTATAGCTCTGATATCTAGCTGTAGCCTCTTGGTCTGCTAATTACGCTGTTTTCATTTGCTTTTCTGGAAAAGCATTTTTGCTAAAAACTGAACAGACTTTCTCCTTCATATCTAGCAGTATAGTATAGCTTTATGCCATGCAGCATTTTAAGACTCAATTTTAAAGATTGCTAATCTGTTGCTGACTTTATTTTGTTAATTCCTGTTTCAATAGCTCTTTCCCTTAATTCAGTATACAATTTCTTATGTACATCTTCACACACCATTTTTTGTGGTGTGTGTATATCTGACTTGAGGCAAATTGGGAAAAACACACAGCTTTTTAATTTGTTTAAAATAAACCTGCCTATTACATTTTTTGTGCTCTTAACCAATTAAAAAAGCCAATGACATTTTTAGTTTTATGTTTATGCTTTTCACTAGTATATCACTGTTGATTTGCTGATTTGTTTGTGTCCTTTATTAACTGCATTTTCTAAAATTTTTTTTCAATAAAAGGAAAGAAGATGTGAAAAATGGAGTTTTGATGGATAGCTTTGATGGAAGGAATAGAGCAGCAAGTGTTAACAATCTTCCTGTACTATAGGTTTCTTTCATTTTTAGGCTGTTTTACTGGTCAGAAACACCTGAGAACCTGTAGTAGAACTGATAGCTTTCTAGTAATAATAATGACAGACATTCAGTACTTTGTGTCAGGTAGTGTTTCTAGTACTTTACATGTATTAACTCATTAATGCTCCTAACAATCCTAAGAAGTAGGTACTATTGCTATCCCCATTTTATAGATTGAAGGAACTGAGGCATACAAGTTGAATAATTTGTCACACAGCTTGTGATAGAACTGGGATTTAAACCTGGGTGGTCTGGCTCCAAACTCGTGAGTAGCTTCTTTTCCAGTACTTTCCTGCTATGGTCAGAGAAGAACTGGGTACTTGCCTAGATCCTGTGACCTGTAGGGATATTGTCCCTCTATTCTTACAGCCTAATACCTAAAACCATATTCACCTCATAAAATACTGTGTTTCTCATATTTTGCTCAATGATTTGGGAATGTTGCCCTATCTAGTGACACCCTCAGAGGGTTGTAGGACATCACCAGGTAGAGGTTTATTCCTGTCAAACTTGTGTAAGTCATGTAGTTCTCTGAGCTTCTAGGGCTCCCCTCTCACCTACTCCCCTTTTTAACTGGCGATTCTATTCTATCAGCTGCTTAAAGCCCGTGGAAGAGTAGTTGGATTAATCATATTCTCACAATGAAGGTTACTGTTAGACACAGGGGTCTCAAGACTTGTGGACGTAGACATGGAATAACCCTCTCCAAAATGATTTCTTGGAGGCTTTCACACTGGGTATACCTTTTTCTTTACATATACAAACATGTATTTTCACTTTTTTTTTTTTTTTTTTTTTTTTACTGCTTTCACTTTTATGGAAGGAAATGAGAACATTACAGAGGCATCGCATTTGGAAATGCTGTCAGTACTATGTAATGCTCTGCAATTTTGAACTCTTAATGTGAAGCCTTGGAGCTTCACTTTTTAATTTTTTTAAATAAAAATTGTATTATGTTGAAATATGTTCTATAGTTTATTTCACTTACTGTTTTCAGGTACTTTTTCTGGCAGTATATATAAGTCAAACTCACTTTTAATAGTTGCATAGCATTTTATAGTAGAAATGTTTTTAATTTAACTCTTTCCCTATTGATAGACATGCTTGTTGTTTGTTTCTAGCTTTTCACTATGCCAAGGGAGGGGAGGGGGTTTGGAAGAGAAGGGAAAAGAATAGGTTCTCAAATGAGAGACAAGAGACCTGGGTTGTTTCTAGGTTTAATTTGTGACCTTGGGAAAACCTCATTCCTGCTCTGGGATTTAGTGTCTGAACCTGTCAAAGAGGTTTTGGATAACGTACCCTTTTGAGATTATGGAGGCTTCTTAACCCCCAGAAATACCCTCATAGAAAACATGAGTGCTGTAATTTTTTTTTCCTTTTTTGTCCTCACCTGAGGACATTTTTTGCATTTATCTTCAGATAGAGTGGGAGGGAAAGAAGCGGGGAGAGAGAGAGAAAAACATCCATGCGAGAGAGAGAAATCTGGCCACCACCCACACGACCACAACCAGGGCTGGGGACAAACTGCAACTGCAGTATGTGCCACTACTGGGAACTGAGCCTAGGACTCTCCGGTCCGCAGGCCGATGCTCCAACCACTGAACCAAACTGGCCAGGGCAATTTTTTTTATTTATTGGTTTTTAGTGAGAAAGGAAGGGAGAGGGAGAGAGAAACACTGATGAGAGAGGACATCGATTGGCTGCCTCCTGCATGCCCCCCCTGGGGATTGGGCCCACAACCTGGGCATGTGCCCTGACCTGGAATTGAACTGGCCACCTCTTGGTGTGTGGGTTGACACTCAACCACTAAGTCACACCGGCTGGGCAAGTGCTGTAATCTTTTACATTTGCTCATAAACCCCACTTTGAGATGTCTTAGGCTGTGTGACTCTCTTAAGGTTTTTCTCTGGCTTTAGATACCAGTATAGACGATTCTATATGAAAAGTGGGTTAGCAGCCCTGTGTTGCACTTGGTGCTTCACCCCACCCCCCAATCCCACACTTGTGGTATTTTAGGAGTTTCCAATCACTTGAACAGGCTCATGGTTGCAGTTTGTGGGGTTGCAGAATGCCTCTGGCTGGCTTTTGATACCACTCTGAGTGGTCCCTCCAGCCTGTTTTGAATGCTGCTAGGCTGTTCTCTTTTTTTTTTGATATTTTGTTCAGATAGAGTGGGAGAGAGAGAAACATCGACGTGAAAGGGACACATCGAGTGGTCGCCACCCACACAACCCAATCAGGGCCGGGGACAAACTGCAACCAAGGTACGTGCCCTTAGTGGGAACCGAACCTGGGTCTCTCCAGACCACAGGCCAACGCTCTAACCGCTGAGCCAAACCGGCCAAGGCTGAGCTGTTCTTTATCCTCTTCAGTAGGTCTGTAGCACCCCTCCCATCAGGACATCTATCACATTTTCCTCCTGGCTCTCAGCTCCTCACACCTGCCTAGGATGGATTTAGGTCTTCCAAAATATGTGACAACTGAGGAGAGTGAGGAAAGATAGCTAATGTTTTTCATTATTTGCAAATTTTAGCTGCTAATGTGTACTTGATGTTTGGTACCTTTTAATATATATTTTTTATCCTCACCTGAGGACATTTTTTCTATTTTTTGTTCAGATAGAATGGGAGGGAGAGAGAGAGAGAGAGAAACATCGATGTGAAAGGGACACATCGAGTGGCTGCCACCCGCACGACCCAACCAGGGCTGGGCACAAACTGTAACTGATGTATGTGCCCTTATTGGGAACCAAACCCAGGTCTCTCTGGACCGCAGGCTGATGCTCTTAACTGCTGAGCCAAACCAGCCAGGGCTAAATAAATATTCTTAACCCAATCTGAAAGCACATGTGCTCAGGTGACTCCTCTGATAACTACAACTACCCTAAGAATAATCCACAGGGATTCTTAACCTTTTTTTCTACCCTGGATCTTTCTGATAGTCTGGTGTTGTCTGTGGCCCTTTTCAGAATAATGTTTTAAAGTAAGTGCATTGTACCCTGGCTGGTTTGGTTCAGTGTTAGAGCATCGGCCCACGGACCAAAGAGTTGTGGGTTTGATTCCAGTCAAGGGCATGTACTTTGGTTGCAGTTTGCCCCTGGCATTGGTCGGGGTGGTGTGCACCCAGTCAATATGTCTCTCTCACTTCAATGTCATCGTCCTCCTCGCCCCACTCTATCTGAAGATAAAAGGAAAAAAATATCCTTGGGTGAGGATTAAAAAAATAAAATAAGTGCATTGTTGCCTGTTAATGAGGAACTGGGAACGTGGTTACGGGCTCTGATTACCCTGACGTAGGTTCAAAGATGGTTTGCTCACTCTCCTCTGGGCAGAACTTCCTCACTAATCTGGCAGTCAGCCTCAGGTCTGTCCCGTTGTAACTACTGACACTAATATTCATCCTGGGTGGGCAGTAGGTTTCTTTCTTCAGATAGCAGTTACAAGGACACACACCTAGACAAGCATGAAAGGAGGGAAATTTCCCAACTTTTGTGGGCAGAAACCGTGAGTTATAATGTTCGCTGGTTTGCTTGGGAGTGTAGGGATTCAAGTGCATGATGCTTATGAAGGAAGAATGACAACTCTTGGGTTGTCTTATAGCCAACCCCATCCTGTATTCTATCATGTTGACCTTAAATCCATTTAGAGACAGCAGTAAAGGTCTCAGAATTTTTTGCAGTGGGCCTTGGCTGCTGTAAGGGAACTTTGGACCCTTTTGGGGAGAGTTCCCTTTGACAAACTTTTCTGGGTAACCATTGCTGAGTATTGAATAATATTCGTGCATGGATTTGATTTATAATGTTATTGAAGGTGATCTACTGGAGAAGGAGAAACTGTTGGGAGAGGCAATCTGTCATGAGCCTTGAATATTCCACTTGGAAGACTACAGATGATCAGAACAAAGACACTCTTCTTTGGGACCACAAACGAAATGAATTACAGCTATTAATTGAACTATCTTTGTCACTCATGTAGATACCCACAGTGGGGGCCATTGTTTGATGAAACCAACTGGAATCAAGCTGCTGCTGATGGAGCCTGCACAACTCAGGTTGCCACCATTGTTGCCTGGTTCCATTATCGTACTAGATGTGGCATTACACCCACCATTGTAGCCTAGGCACAAAGTAAAACACGTTTCTGATGCAGAGGCCACTGCTGCATGCCAGGCTGTGACTCCAGTCAGAAGTCTTGTTGTCTAGCCTTGAATGAGGCCACATAGCACAGGGCATAGCCACCACCCACTCTTGGCTATTTGACTATATCAGACCTTTGGCTCCCTTGGGGGGTTATCAGTAGTACCTCACCACTGTTGACATCTTTTCAGGTTAGTGTTGCTTTTCTAGTTCAGTCAACTCCAACCACACTATTTTCTAATCTGTCTTCAAACTAATCTCATGTTTTTTTGTTATCTTGACCACATGCAGACTGACAGTGGTACAACTGTTATTGCAAAAGCTGCTTAAGAGCGGGCTGATAGTCAAGGTATTTGATGGAAAGCACTGTTCCATCCACAGGCATCTGTATTGTTGGCTGTTGGAACAACATATTCAAAAAATGTGCTCAGAAGATTTCTGACTTTACCTCTCTAACCTCATTCTGGTCACTACACCTTAGTAAGGCACTTTGTTTAGTAAATGTGGCTGTCCCTAGAAAGTGATCACTTCCTCTTGACTGCTATGTTAGGGTTCTCCAAAGAAACAAAACAAATAGGATATGTGTGTGTTTGTTTATTTTTATTCTCACCCGAGGACATTTTTCCATTTTTTATTCAGACAGAGCGGGAGGGGAAGAGAGGAAGGGGGAGAGAAACATCGACATGAAAGGACACATCGAGTGGCTGCCACCCACACGACCCAACCAGGGCCGGGGACAAACTGCAACCGAAGTACATGCCCTTAGCGGGAACCGAACCCCGGTCTCTCCGGACCACAGACCGATGAGCCAAACCGGCCAGGGCTATGTGTATGTGTATTTAAAGAGGTGTATTATAAGGAATGTGCTCATGATTACGGAGGCTGAGAAGTCTCATGATCTGCTCTCTGTAATCTGGAGAACCAGGAGACCCAATGGTATAGTTCCAGTCTGAGTTAGAGGGCCTGAGAACCGGAACTGTTGGTGTAAATTCTAGTCCAGAAGCAGAAGACTACGTCCTAGCTTCCAAGCAGGCAGAGAGAGTGAATTCTACCTTACCCTGATTTTTGTTCTATTCTGGCTTCCAACAGATCAGATGAAGCCCACCAACATTAACATTACAGAGGGCAGTGTGCTTTACTGAGAAGCACCGATTCATATGGTAATCTCATCCAGAAACACCCTCAGACATACCCAGAATAATGCTTAACCAAGTATCTGGGGATCCCATATTTCAGTCACATTAAGACATAAAATTAATTATAGTTGCTTAGTGGTGGTCAGAATGAGTGATTGGGGAGTGTTGTATAGACTTATTTTGAAAATTCAGTATTCTGCTGCCCTGACTATTGCTGGGTATGATGTTTTCTTGGCCTTAACAGCATCCCCAGGCCAACCTGGTTGTCACACCTTCCAGTTGACACCTCAGCCAAAGGAGGCATTGAGTATTCACATTTCATTCTGGTTTAGCCACCTGGATTCTTTTGTTGGTTTGACATGGTCCTACATATAACATTTGGAAAAAGAGACACCCCTGGAGCCTTCCTCAGAGGAGAATGGAATAGTAAAATTCCCCCAAACTGGTGCAAGCTCCTTAAACTTGACTGGTTGCTGGTATTGCAGTCATCCACCAGATGACTGACCACAATTTGATAGCCATTTCCTTTACTTATTTATTTTTATTTTTTTGTAAAAATTGTTTTTTCCTTTATTTTAGAGAGAGGAAGTGAGAGGGAGAGAGAAACATTGATGAGGGAGAACATCCATTGGCCACCTCCTCCATGCTCCTCACTGGGGATTGGGCCCACAACCTGGGCATGTGTCCTGACTGGGAATCGAACCAGCAACCTCTTGCTGCGTGGGTCAACCACTGAGCCACACTTACTGGACAATAGCCATATCCTTTAATCTATTGAGAAGTCTATCAGAAATTCAGCACTTTCAGCTCCTGTATTTCCATGCAAAACATCACAATTTCCAGAACCCCTCCCCCCTTTTTATAGCTATTAGTCATCCTATAGGGTGGACAAATGCCACCTGGCTGGTGGTGTGGACATATAGGACAGGTTGGACATTGCCATCAGGGAGTCTTTCCTAAATGACTGATTGCAATTATTCTAAGTGAACTGGGAGGTCTGAGGCCTACCAGGTGGCCATGAGGCCACATTACGGACACCGTCAACCTGTATTCCCTGAGTAATGTAGGCCCCATTTGGGAATCCCCAACAATTGTAAACAGGGACATCATATATACCTCCCAGGATATACACAGGGTATCCTTGTGTGGAAGCCAGGTACAAACTTGCTGTTTTTCTTGAAAACGTGGTTCCTTGCACCATAGGGAGGGTCTTAAGCAACTTTCAGGTGTTTAGGGAAGCATCGCCAGAGCATGTAGTCATCAGACAAATGTGGAGATGGCTCCAAAATGAGGCTACCCTTGGTTATATGGGGGAGCTTCCTGGAGAGGTGCTGACTCATTTATGCACACTGCAGGAGGTTATCCCTATATTAAGGGTCATTCTAATAGAAATGTTGATACGGAATTTGTTCCTGACTTTAGCTGAAGCCATCAGTGATACCACTTAGGCCCTGGAATACATTCAGGTGAGCCTCAACTCAGCTGTCCAGTATAGTTATGGGTGATAGAATTGTTCTCAACTTCCTTGTGGGCCAAGGTAGTCTGTAATAGCCAATGTATCCTGCTGTACCTGAATTAATGTCTCAGGCCAAGTACAAGGTCAATACAGAAAGTAGAGAATACCATCTGGCTTTCAAAGGTAGACCTTGATGACTTACGGGTTTTTGCTTGTTTTTTTTTTGTTTGTTTTTTTTTTTTTTTTTTTTGGTGGTTTGTTTTTCCAGCTGGTTTGGTCAAGGCCCTTGGGTATGATTGAGGTCAATTCTGCAGATTGATATCATCCTGTTTCTTGGAGTTCTGTTGACAGTATCCTTAATTAAATGCTGTATGAAACCATTAGAATGGATTTGGTCCCCATTTTTATCAGATTAGAGTGAATAATGGAGTGACATACTCAGAAAATTCATTAGAAGCCATCTGTACAAAGTGCTGTGGAGGCTGGAATAGGAGTAATTGTTTTAGCATGGAGGACTAAGAGGTCCTTATACAGGAAGTGAAACCTGTTTGATTTGTGTCATGAAGTAGGTCATGAGTAGGGTCAAGTGTGCCTGTTTTACAGATAAGAAACCTGAGGCACAGAAATTAAATAACTTGCCAACGTTCACTCAGCTATGAAATGGAAAGTCAGAATTGCAGCCAAGATGTCTTCACCTCCAAATCTAGAGATTGCTACTAAATCTCACTGCCTCAAGCATAAGACAGATCATCAGTCAAAGAATTGAGAGAGATCTGACATTAGCTTTAAGTATTTTTCCAAAATTGAGTTGGTGGTCCACAGAGTTGATTGTGAGTCTGGAGAAGTCAGGTGAAGAACCCTAGCATTTTGTATAGGCTCATCTTTAAAAATGAAATATTTCAGACACAGTAAGTTTTAAAGAATAATAAAATGAACACATAAGAATCTGCTGCCACCTTTAAAAAATTGCCAATACAACTGAAGTCCCTTGGTTATCCTTAATCATATTCTACTTCCTACACTCCCAGAAGTAACTACTACCCTGAATTTGGTAGTTATTATTCCTATGCGTTTTCTTCATACATGTGTGTCCATTAACAACCTATGGTATTATTTTACATGTTTTAAAACTTTTTATATGGTATTTGGTCAAGGGCCCCCAAGATCACCCCTATGTTCAGAGATTCTCTAGGAGTTGTCCCAGGTCTCAGTATATAGCTATACTCACAGCTAAGATTTATGACAATGATATGGTAAGGACACACATCAGATCATAAGAGAAAAAGACACAGGTGAAGTATGGAGGCATCCATGCATAGGCTTCCTTATGTTCTCTCATGAGGGATCACACTAAGCCCACCCCCCCACCCCCCTTCCGCAATGAAAATGCAGCATGTGTGCCATGTTTCTGCCTAGGGAATCCATTAGAGACACAGCACCCACAGTTTTTATTGGGGGCTGTACAATTTCCAGACTCCCAGAAGGAAAACGGGTTTGGTGTAAACGGGTTCTGCACACAGTCTACATTTATGAATTGGAATTCTATAGAAAGAGCTGCCCTTTCTTCCCCATTTACTTTATTCAATTATTCATATAAATATGGACTCACAGGCTTTATTTTATTCAGTGAGTTATAATCTAATACTATTCTTACGCGATACATACACACACACACACATATAATAACATTATTATAATTTTTATTTCTTTGAGTAAGGGTAGCCCAACACTCTGGGTCTCTGGTCCTTTTTGTGGAGTCCCCTCTGAGGTCCGGAACGGTTGCTTGACTCTCAGGCTGTCCAGGGAAGTTTTAGGCGGTGATACCTGCTAAGCAACTAGCAACCAATAGAGCGTGGGGACAGGAGCTGAAGAGGGGGTGGAGGGGTGGGGGGCGGAGCCAGGGACCTGTGCAGCCGCTGGGAGATGTGGCAGGCCTAAGGCCGGAACTGAACTTGGACCTGGGGTGCAGGGGCGTCGGGGTGGTCGAAGAGGAAAGGCCAGGTCCCTCGCCGCGGTTGGGACTGGACTGGGGGCTGAAGAGAGGGCGGACGCCCGAGGCTGGGCAGCGAAGGGGCGGGGTCTCGGCTGCAGGGGTCCGCAGGGGCTGGGTGACTCCGGGCCTCGGCCAACCCTGGGTCCCAACGGCCAACGGGCTGTGGCCTCCGCACGTCCCGCCCCCGCCACTCGCTTCAGATCCTGCTGGTCTCAGCGTCCGGGTCTGCCTGCCTCCCGGCCTCTCGATGTCTCTGTCTTCCTCCTCCTTCACTTTTGGTGGTTTGTTTTCGTGCCCGCAGTCTCCTTCTCCTGCCTCCGTCTCTCTAGCCTTGGTCATTCTCCCAGGCTGCGGTGCCCGAGACCAGAGAGCCTGCCTCCGCGCCCAGCCCTGCTGGAGAGAGACGAAGGAACCGGGCCCTACGCAGGTGAGCGGGTCTGGGAGGCCAGGGCGCCCCCGGAAAGGGGACGACTTCGGCAGCACCACCTGGGCTTAGGAAATCCAGTCTTGGGAGAATATTGAGTCAGAGCCACCCAGTCGGTTAGCACCTCAGACAGAGCCAGAGAGTATTCTTGGCTAGTTCTATTTTTGTTTTCCTTCTACTGAAGCCAAACTTAAACCTGAGAATTAGCATTTTAGAGATGAAAGGGGACTGAGCCTGGGAAGATATTTCTTGGTAGAGAGAGAGGGGTCTGTGGGCCGCAGAGAGCCCTAACCTAGAACTGAAAAGGAGACCGGGTCTTGGTCGAGGTTTTGCTACTGACTCATTGAGTGGCCTTACATACGTTTATTTCTCTCCGTGGGTCTCAGTTTTCCCAACGGTACCATGAGAAGGGTTTGGACTACAGGATCTGCAAAAGCCTGACACGATGCTCCTTAAATATTAGTTGTTTAGGAGTGCATAAAATGAGATAGGGAGGTCTCCTTCTGGGGTTCACTGGAGGCTGACAGTTGCATTGGATTAATTGGGAGTGTGTGGAATTATATTGTTCTTAGCCTGAGAAATAGGTGGTATTACCTCCTTTCCAAGTGAGGAAATTGGCCAAAAAGTAAAGCAATTTGCTAGTATCAAAGCCAAGTCACATGTCAAAATCCATGCTACACTTCTCTCTCCCAGTAAGAGAGCAGGAAGGACTTGATTGAAAGGTGATTATATGGAGCAGCAATTAATAATATGAATTCTCTGCCAAAACAACTCTAAAGCAGAACTGTATCAGATTCTTCTTTGTCTCTAGTTCCCAGCATCTGATTTGTATGAAATAGTTTGGGTGTCAATGCCAGAGCCACTATCTGTATTAACACTGTCATCAACATGATCAGCATAATCATAATGCAAACTAGTGATAGTGACTGTCATTGTTGTACTGATAGCAAAGAAGTCATAAGTGAAATTGTGAGGACATCAAAATTTGTGATAAAGACTTTTACTTATGGTGCTTTGAAGTTTATAAAGCACTTTCCAGTGGTTCTTCATACTGATCATCTTAGGTAGGTATTATTATCTATTATTTTACAAGCAAGGAATCCAAGACCTAGAGAGATTAAGTGATTACCACAAAGTCACACAGTAAAGAAATAGAGCTGGGACACCAGTCCGGTCCCATATGACAAGTTGTGCTTCCCCTTTGATGCTTTTTCCACTTCCTCTCCCTTTTTCCTAGTCCGTCCTCCCCACTCTGTGCCTATCCTGTGTTCCATTCTTATCATCTAGAGAATCCTTGTGTTGGCTGATGATTAATAGTGTTGTATTAACTCATAATTGAAGTGTTAACTTGTAAGAGTTTAAAATATGCTCTCCCAGAGATGCAGGGGGATTTAAATTCTTTTAAGAAGGGGAGTTTTAATTGTGGTTGTTGTTATCATTATCATCATTATCCACAGATTTCAAGGAATAAAACTAGAATGTGCAGTGATTGACAGTCTAAAAATAATAATTGTCATACATTGAGCTCATACTATGTCATGGCCCTGTAACAGCCACTTAAACTTTTTTAACTTAATTCTCTCAACCACTCTATTGAATTTTATAAATGAGGACCCTAAAGCATAGAGAAGTTAAACAACATGCTCAAAGTCATATAGTTCTGGCCTGATCCAAGTCCTATGTTTTTAACCTTTATACCAGCTTGGCTCAGGGACTGATTTTTACTTAAAAGAAAGCCCGACTCTCCGTGACAGGAGAGCCTGACCTGGGGAGAGAGAGAGATGCTCTAGTATTGGGTGAAGACAGTTCACCCATGCCTTTCAGTTCTGCTATTAGAGCCCAGAACTGGAGCGAGGGGAGGCTTTTCTTCTGAACTCGGGAGACCAACTCCCTACACCCCTCAGGATAGTGGGCCATGGTTCTCTTTAAGTTAGAAATAGTGACTAAATGAATCCTTCATATGCTAGCTATGAAAGTGTGTCTTGATTGACACTAGGAGGATACAGCCAAAAGTAGTGTAACTTGCCCCTTCAGTTTATTGCCCACAAGGCTGCCTGAGAGATTGGTCTAAAATGCATACTTGATCATGCCATTCCTCTGCCAAAAACTCTTAAGTGGCTTCCTTATTAAGGTGTTTATAAACATCTTAATAAGGTGTCAAAGCCTCCCAGGATCTGGACTCTGCTAACCCCTTCAGTCCTATCTCTGCTCACAAATTTTGACCAGGATAATCATACTGGACTACTGAGATTCCCCACAGCTCACTGTCTTTTCTGTCACCCACAGGCTTTTCACATCCACTCTTTCTGCCCTCCTCCTTTTTATCCTTCAGTTGGCTTACCCACTATTTATCCTTTAAGATCCAATTCACCCATTCAGTCATTCAATAAATATTAGCCAAATGCCTATCAATTACCAGGTATGGTTCTAGGTGTAAAGTGTAGCAGAGGATAAAACACATATCCCTGCCCTTTACGAAGTGTCTATTTTGTAGTACATATTAAACAAGTATAATGTGGGGATAAATGGCATGGGAATAGAACAAGGAAAGGGGAAAAGGAGCACAGGGTAGTTGTCAGGGAAGGGCTCGCTGATTGGATGACATTTGAACAGAGTTGAAGGAGGTGAGGGAGTGAGGTCTATAGCTATCTGAAAGAAGAATATTCTAGACACAGAATATGAGGATATATGAGACAAGAGCTCCCTTGGCTCAGTTGTTAGCTCTCCAAAAATCTCTGCTGCCTTTTTCTGTCTTCCTGCATGCTCTCATGGTTTACTTCTGAAATAGCACTCATTACCTGATGTTGTAATTGTCTGTTTCCCTCACTAGAATATGCGTTTCTTGAGGGCAGGGGCCTCTGATTTCTGTCTCCTTATGGTCTGACTTGGAGTAGGCACCCAGAAATACTGATTAAATAAATGAATATGGTCTTATGGGCCTTGTTCTTACAGCCTGATAATTTTTTACAAATGACTTGTAAGACAGGGTTTGGATGACAGATGAGAGAGAGAGAAATAAAGCCTGGTCTGTCTTTCTGGCTTGATTCCTTTTTTGGGCTTCTGAGAAGTAGAACTGATTTTCTTTGGCAAATGTACCTAGAGACTTCCATTTTCAGGATTATGGTAGGCTATCTAACCTGTAAAATGGTGGATAAAATACTAAAAAGCCTTTATAGCCCAGCCGGAGTGGCTCACTGGTTGAGCGTTGACCCATGCACCAAGAGGTCACCAGTTCAATTCCCGGTCAGGGCACAAGCCCAGGTTGTGGGCCAAATCCTCAGTGGGGGGCATACAGGAGGCGGCCAGTCGATATTCTCTCACGTTGATGTTTCTGTCTATTTCTCCCTCTTCCTTTCTCTCTAAAATCAATATAGGAAAAAAAATTTTTTTAAAGTCCTTTATAACTGAATTTGCAAGAAAGTAAGAGAAATCCCCATTGGCCTAAAAACCAAGAGTAAACTGAAAACCAGAATAGTTATAGTTAGTTCCTTGACCTGATCTCAGCTGCCCTGGATGTTTGCTTATCTTATTACCTAGAAGCTTGGGCTTTAATAGACATGCTGTTACAGTGAATGAAACTATGGGCCTGCATGGGCTAGACTTTGGTTGGAATTGAGATCCATGCATGAAGTCATATCCCTTGAAAATCTACACCCTCTGATGGGGTGACTAGGAAAAAAATATTGCTACTGACACAGAGATAACAAAGAAGATTGCCTTTTATCCAACCACCAGTAGAGGGGAAAAGTTTCCCCAGAGAATTCTTAAACACGTACATTTCCTCATATGGATTTGGGTTTATATTTATGTTACTCGAATAGCCTCAGAACTCCTAGCCAAGAAATTGACGTTAGAAGCCATCCAGGCTGGTAATACCCCTGGATTCTTGGCAGAAGTATATGTAGAATCTTTGGAGAGACCTACCTGACACAGGCTGCATAGAATTCCCACAGAGCGTGGAGGACAGATTTGTTAAACAACAATGCAAATTGCTTGCTTGGTGATGTTGAGACCATGATAGTATTTTTATATTATAAAAAATAAATATCTCTGCCTCTCAGTGATCTCCAGAAATGGAATGATAGAACAGAACTTGTATACAAGCCAGCATTTGGATATGGATACACATTCAGCTGCCTCCTGTCCTTGCAGAGGTCATGGAAGAAGTGACATCATGCTCCTTCAACAGCCCTCTGTTCCAGCAGGAAGACAAGAGAGGAATCACCTACCGGATCCCAGCCCTGCTCTACATACCCACCACCAACACCTTCCTGGCCTTTGCAGAGAAGCGTTCTACAAGCAGGGATGAGGATGCTCTCCACCTGGTGCTGAGGCGAGGGTTGAGGACCGGGCATTCGGTACAGGTGACTTCTCATCCCAGATCTGGACCTGGGCCTCAGTTTCTCTCCACACTTGCTCAGAGCATTCAGAGTCTGGGCCTTTCCTCAGTGCAGGAAAAAACGCTGTGTAGGAGATAAAGAAGAAAAAACAATAAAAGCAATACCTCTGTGTACTTACTCTGTACCAGGGGCACATTGATTCTCTTAGCCATTCTGTGACATAGGAATTGTTGTCAGTCACATTTTATAGATGAAGAAACTGAGACTGAGAGTTTGCCACTTGCTCAAGATCACACAGCTATAATAAAGGAGTAGAAACAGGCTTCAGACTTGATCTCTGACTCCAGAGGCCTCTGTGGTTCATGTGTATGTCTCATTCACATTCTCTTTTATCTTGTAAGTCACCAAAAATAGTAAACATTGTTAGCCCAGGATTGCTGGTGGGGGATGCTTTACTCATTTTTATCTCATGCTTTATTCATTTTTATCTCAATTGTAGAATCTTGAAATTAGAAGAGTCATCAGCCCAATTTCTTTCCCAGTATAGAAATCTTGTGAATTCCATTGATAACTACTAATAGCTTAGTAGCTAAGAGCAAGGCTTTGAAGTCAGGCAAGACACCATTTATTGGCTCTGTGACCTTGGATACAGCTCTTTTCTGTTTCATCATCTGCAAAATGTAATTAATAATAGCAGCTACATAGTAGGAACTCAACATTAGTCATCTTCTATAAAGGGTCTGTTCACTCCTCAATAAGGAACTTAATCCTGTAGCCACTATTAACATTTTTGGGGAATAAGAGATCTATACTCCTCTATAATTACCCTTTGGTCTTGTTTTGCTTTCTGGGGTCATCAATCTATGTATAATAAAATTTCTTCTGCTGAGATTGCTCTTTGATGTACCTGAAAGTGGTGTTATACCTTCTGAGTCTTCTGTTTTCAGGGCTCAGCAACTTCAGTTCTTTTCGTGTCTTCTTTGGCCACAGTCTGGATTTGGTTTCTGGGCCCTTGAAAACTGATTACACTGGGATGTCAGTGTCCTTTTTCAAAGAATAGTACTCAGAATTGTAATTAAGACCCCAAAGATAGAGCCACCCTAGCAATGAGGTGGTTATCTCATCTTGTATCCTTTTTATGCACCCTAAGGTAAAGTAGCATTTACTTTTTTGATCCATCATAACACAGTTGACTAATAAATGTTAAGTAGATGGTCAGCTAAAACCTCCAAGTCTTTTCCACATTTGTTGTTCTTTTTTTTAAAAAAAACTTTCAATTGTGTTAAAATACATCCAACAAAATTTTCTATCTTAATCATTTTAAGTGTACATTATGGTATTGTTAACTATATCCACGTTATTGTACAACAGCTCTTAAAACTTTGTCATTGTGAACGACTGTAGTTATATACACATTGAACAACTCATTTCCCCTCCCCCAGCCTCTAGTAACCACTATTCTACTTTGTTTCTATGAATTTGATTACTTTAGGTATCTCATATTAGTAGAATCGTGCAGTGTTTGTCTTTTTGTGATTGGCTCCTTTCATTTAGAACAATGATTTTCAACTGGTGTGCCTCAAGAATTTTTATTTATTTTTTATTGTTGAAAGTTTTACAGATATGCCCTTTTTCCCCATTGACCCCCCTCCTTCCCGCTCCCATCCCCTCCTGCCTTCCCCAGCTTAATATTTGTGTTGATTGGTTGTGCATATATGCATATAAGTTCTTGGGTTTATCTCTTCCCATCCTTTCCACCCCCCAAACTCTGAGGTTTGTCAGTCTGTTTCCTACTCCCATGATTCTGAATCTTTTTTGGTCGACAGCTTATTTTGTTTGTGATGTTCCACAAATAAGTGAGATCATATGGTATTTGTCTTTCTCTGACTGGCTTATTTCACTTAGCATAATATTTTCCGGGTCCCTCCATGTCTCAAAGGATAAGAGACCTCTCTTTCTTACAGCTACATAGTACTCCATTGTGTAAATGTACCAGAGCTTCTTTATCCACTCATCTATTGATGGGCACTTAGGCTGTTTCTAGGTCTTAGGTATTGTAAATTGCGCTACTATGAACATAAGGGTGCATGTATTCTTCCTGATTGGTGTTTCAAGCTTCTTAGGATATATTCCAAGAAGTGAGATCACTGGGCCAAATGGCAGTTCTATTTTTAATTTTTTGAGGAAACACCATATTGTTTTCCATAGTGGCTGCATCAGTCTGCATTCCCACCAGCGGTGTACTAGAGTACCCTCTTCTCCACATCCTCGCCAGCATTTGCTGTTTGAGGATTTGTCGATGGCTGCCACTCTGGCAGGTGTAAGATGATACCTCATAGTCATTTTAATTTGCATCTCTCAGATAATTAGTGATGTTGAACATTTTTTCATATGTCTCCTGGCCATTTGTATGTCCTGTTTGGAGAAGTATCTATTCAGGTCCTCTGCCCATTTTTTAATTGTATTATCTTTCTTGTTGAGTTGTATGAGTATATATTTTAGATATTAACCCTTTATCCGATGTATTGCTGGCACATATGTTCTCCCAGAGAGTGGGTTCCTTTTTCATTTTGATGTTGGTTTCTTTTGCCATGCAGAAGCTCTTTACTTTGACGTAGTCCCATTTATTAATTTTTTCCTTGACTTCTCTTGCCCTAGGCAATGTATCAGTGAAAATTTCATTACGTATGATGTATGAAATTTTTGCCTACATTTTACTTCTAGGATTTTTATGGTTTCACAGGGTACATTTAAGTCTTTTATCCATTTTGAGTTTATTCTTGTGTATGGTGTAAGTTGATGGTCTAGTTTCATTTTTGTGCATATAGCTGTCCAATTTTCCCAACACCATTTATTAAAGAGGCTGTCTTTTCTCCATTGTATGCTCTTGCCTCCTTTGTCGAATATTAATTGTGCATACTGTCTTGGGTCTGTATCTGGGTTGCTGCAAAAATTTATAAAACATGCAATACCTGACTATTTGGTCAGGGGCACTGACCTCTTTTCCCTTAAACTGCCAAATTTAAAAATGACAACAGCCAACACAATAGTTGTCTGGTGTGAAGGAATCAAAATTATACCTTTTTTTTTTATCCTCACCCAACGATACTTTTCCATATTTTGTTCAGATAGAGTGGGAGGGAGAGAGAGAGAGAGAGAAACATTGACGTGAAAGGGACACGTCGAGTGGTTGCCACCTGCACGACCCAACCAGGGCCGGGGACAAACTGCAACTGAGGTACGTGCCCTTAGCGGGAACCGAACCCAGGTCTCTCTGGACTGCAGGCCGATGGGCCAAATCAGCCAGGGCAAAATTATACCTTTTTTTGTCAGATTAGCAAAAAATATATTTTGTGTGTGCTACCGAATTTTAATAATTAGTTTATGTGTGCAATGAGATGAAAAAGGTTGAAAATCACTGATTTAGAATAATATCCTCAAGTTTCATGTTATAGCTTAAGGCAGGATTTCCTTCTCTTTAAAAGGCTGAATAATATTCCATTGTATGTTTGTCCATTCATTGGTGTATCCATTTTGTTTATCTGTTCTTCTGTTGATGGAAACTTGGGTTGCTCCCACCTTTTGGCTATTGTGAATAATAATGCTCTATGAACATGGTGTGCAAATGTCTCTTTGAGATGTTGCTTTGAATTCTTTGGATATATATGTAGAAGTGGAATTGCTGAGTCATATGGTAGGTCTATTTTTAATTTCTTTAAATTACTGGGCAGGCTAGTCATTGGGAAGTCAGAAGTTCAGTCATCCTTAGTAGCTGAGAGGAGAAAATGATTTGGGCCAGATATGCCTAAAATAAAGTTTACATGAAGCTAGAAGAAACAGTAAAGATGAAAGCATTAGAATCCAAATGATCTCAACCACCTGCAGCAATGAAATATAAACAAGCTGAGGATTGACAGAGTTGACAGGGATAAAACAAGTCTTGGGCCCTGGCCTGTTTGGCTCAGCGGTTAGAGCGTCCACCTGCGGTCCGGAAAGACCCGGGTTCGGTTCCCGCTAAGGGCACGTACCTCGGTTGCAGTTTGTCCCCGGCCCTGGTTGGTCGTGCGGGTGGCAGCCACTCGATGTGTCCCTTTCACATCGATGTTTCCCTCTCTCTCCCTCCTACTCTGTCTGTACAAAAAATGGAAAAATGTCCTCGGATGAGGATTAAAAAAAAAAAAAAAAACAAGTCTTGGCTTACTGTTTTCTACAGTGAGTGCACCATGTTGTGATCCCATCAACAGTGCCCATGGGTTCCAATTTCTCTGTGTCCTTGCCCATACTTATTTTGTGTGTTTTTTAAATAGTAGTTATCCTAATGGATATGAGGTGATACCTCATTGTAAATTTGATTTGCACTTTCCTAATTATTAATATTGTCGAGTAATTTTTTATATACTGTTGGCCATTACATTTGTTTTCTTTAATCGTGTTTTTCCATCCAGATTTTTAAGCCAAGACTTGTTTTATCCCTGTCAACTCTGTCAACCCTCAGCTTGTTTATATTTCATTGCTGCAGGTGGTTGAGATCATTTGGATTCTAATGCTTTCATCTTTACTGTTTCTTCTAGCTTCATGTAAACTTTATTTTAGGCATATCTGGCCCAAATCATTTTCTCCTCTCAGCTACTAAGGATGACTGAACTTCTGACTTCCCAATGACTAGCCTGCCCAGTAATTTTTTCCCCTTCCTGTTCCTAAAGGGAGTAGCAATGCTGATGGATTTCTTGTATCTTACTGGATCCTGCTCAGGGTTCTTCATCTGAGCAATATTTATTATCCAAATGAGTTTGCAGCAGATGAGTTATTTCTCATCAGCAACACACATTCAGTGCTGTCTTTAAAGTTGGTATCCACACAGGGTGCTGAAGAGATGGGGGCTCTATCCTCAGAGCAACAATAGGAAAGTAAATATGCTCCCCAGGCCGCTTCTTGGCACTTGAGAGGGAGCGTAGCCTCTGGGCATTGTTTATCTAGAGTATTGCTTCTACCTGAGGGGGGGGGGGGGGTTGTAATCCTTCCCT